ATGCCAATTGAGCTAGATGTTCCCTGAGACCATGGTCCCCACAGCCCTCCGCCCAGCAATTCAGTCCCTCAGAGAGTATGGATGTGTCTATGGGGCTTCCATGACCTTTCCTTGTACAAGTTGTGCTAGTTTCCCCTGTATTGTGCACTGTCTCACCCTTCACCCAAGTGTCCTCTCTTTTAAATTTACCAAAGCAATGCTTGCTAACTGTAAAAAATACAATGATGAAGATACAAAGTATAAATCGCCCCTTACAAGTGGCCACCTCCATTCCCACATCTCACTCTCAGTGGTAACCACTGGCTTAGTTCATAGCTTTCTAGATATTTTCTATACATTTGCAAAGGAGAAAAAATATGTAAAATACAATGTGTATGGTGGAGTATATATTTACAAATTCAGATCATAGGCTATTATTCTGCAACTTGCCTTTTCTCTGTAACAATAAATAATGGACATTGTGCCAGGTTGGCTCCTATAGATCCATGTCTTTCTTTTAAAAAGCTGCATAACATTCACAGTATGGATGCACCTGGTTTACTTAACTAACCCCATCAACGGACTTTTAGGATGTTTTCAATTACCTCCTAGTGTCCCCCTCTCCCCATTACAATACTCTTATGGGCATCTCCTTGAGTACTTGTATAAGCATTTCTGAAGGATCATTCCTAGGAGTGGAATTGCAGGGTCACATGCATTTTAAATTTTAATCGATACTCAGGTCCAGGCATAATGCCTGACACATAGTAAGAGGTTTATAACTGTCTGTGGCATGAATAGGTACTGCCAGATTGCCCTCCAGGAGGGTCACGCCATTTCTACTCCCACCAATTACAAACAGGAGAGCCATAGAACCGCCATTTCTGCCCCCAAGTCCCAGCAAGACCAGGCTGCAGGATCACCACTTTCCTCCAGCCCCTTGGTTGCTGCAGGGGAAGAGGATTTAAAGGTCCTAAGTTTGGCAGTTCAAATCTACCAGCTACTCCATGGGAGAAAGATGTGGCAGTCTGCTTTCATAAAGATTACAGCCAGCGATGGATTTTATGTTATTTTTGAGGAATCCAGGTGGCGTAATGGTTAAGCGCTTGGCTGTTATCTGAAAGGTTGGTGGTTCAAACACACCCAGCCACTCTGTGGGAGAAAGACCTGGTGATCTGCTCCCATGAAAATTAAAAAACAAAAAACAAACCCATTGCTGTTGAGTTGATTCCAACTCACAGCGACCCTACAGGATGGAGTAGAACTGCCTCATAGGGTTTCCAAGGCTGTAATCTTTATGGAAACAGACTGCCAAGTCTTTCTCCCTTGGAGTGTGTTGTGGCTTCGAACCACCAACCTTTTGGTTAGCAGTCTTTAGGGTCGCTATGAATTGAAATTGACTTGACAACAGGTTTGGTTCCCATAAAGATTACAGTTTAGAAAACCGTACGGGGCCGTTCTACTCTGTCACGCAGGGTTGCTATGAGTCAAAATTGACTTGATGGCACCTAACAACAACAGCATGTCATCTTTGATGAAAGGAAGCTAACGGCCAGGTCTCCAAAGCCCACCACTCACTATCCTCCACTGGGGCGTGTGTTTGCCCTGTGAAGGCAGCAGCAGCTCTAGGCTTCCTAGTTGAAGCTAGTCATGTCTACACAAAGCGCCTCCTTAGCTTCCTTCTGCTGTCTCCACCAGCCCTTGAGACAGAAGGAAAAACTTCCACTTATGTCTGTATGCTGGACTCATTCTCGTATTGCCAGCTCCAGCATATCTTGTCAGTAATTCCTGTCCTCCCTTGCAGGAGAATCTCATCGATAGCATACACTGTGGAGGTGACTTTCCTGCCAAACTGTGCTTTTGTGTCTTTAAAAAATACCAGTTGCCACTAAGTCGATTCCGATTCACGGCGACCCCGTGTGTGGAGTAGAACCACACTCCAGAGGGTTTTCAAGGCTGTGAACTTTTGGAAGCAGATTGCCAGGCCTTTCTTCTAAGGCATCTCTGGGTGGGTTCGAACCACTCAGTTAGTAGCCGGGCGCTTAACTGTTTGCCCTACCCAGGGTCTCTTTGTGTATTTACCCACTTACAATTTTAAAATAGTATCAAACCATTCATTGACTCAGTCACCCATCTAACCACCCATCAATCAATACTCCTCCCTCCCTTCCTCCTTTCCATTGAATCACCAATCCTTCCTTCCATCCATCCGTTCATCCAACCACACACTCATTCACCCTTCTCACTTTTTTTGACCTTCTCCTTTGTGACAAGCGCTGAGCCAGGCCCTGTGGGGGGTACAATGCCACCCTTCAAGGAGTTCCTCTGGCAAATCCCCACCCTCAGGTGGGAGAGACCTGGATTCAGGAATTCCCCGTATTGGGCTTCACGTTGATTTCTTTCTCCCCCTCTGGGTGGTGGTGACTTCCTTGGCTCATCTTTCCCCCAGATACTCTGGATACAGTGGAAGACTCCTCCATGGGCAGCCAGGCAAGTGGGAAACTAAGGCTTGGGCCCCTTACCTATGGCACTTCCTGGCCCTTGGTGGAGGGTGCCCCTTGGGCTGGCACACTTCCAGATTCACACTACTCTTAGCTGTCCCTGGCCTGGCAGAGTGGACATAGTTAAAGGGGAAACCAATCCACTCACCACCACCACCTGCCCTGGAGAGGGAGGTCCTTCTAACCTGGAGAGGTCTGAGAGAGACCTGACCTCTCGCAGTGTGAGGGTTCTCAGTGTGGGGTCCTCAGAGGGAAGGTGCTGGGCAGGAAACGCTATTCAGGGCTTCAGGGGATTGACAAAGCTGCACAGCTCAGCGGGGATGGGGAAATCCTCTTGTGATTCAGGTTCCCCACCACTCCCTAGCCTCTGAAGATCTCCTACACTAACAGAATGGAGCCCGCTTAGGCACAGAGACACCCTCTTCTCAAAGCCTAGATAAGGGGCATCCTGTCCTCAGGAGAGGGGCATCAGAGGAGCCTGGAGGTGGGGTTGGGAATATGTAATTCCATATGTATGGTGACCTCAGGGTGGGCACCCACGATACAGCCATTTGTGCCCAGCTCCAAGCCTGTCCTGAGGTGGGAGCCAGGCTGAGCCCAAGGGAAGCACCTAGGCCTCCTGGGCTGTGGGAGACACAAGGGTGACATTCCCATGCATGCCCCTTTCTGCCTCTCCCCTCTGAAGCTGTCTCCACCAGGAACCCCTACCAGGACAGCCACTCTCCTGGCGTCTTTGGGCTGGCTGTGCCATCGTCTCAGCCCCGGCCCTGCCACCTGCCTAGGTCCTGATGCCCAAAGGATGGATGTTACTGGGAGATCTTCAGAGAAGGCCCCCATGCCAGCAGCCCAGGGCAGTTCTACCTCCTATCCTCCTAGGAGCTTTGACTAGCACTGATGCTGTGCCCTCTGCCTGCAGAGCAGGCTAGCATCACGGGTTGCAGGGGGCAGTGCAAAGGCAAGGTACCAGGTGGAGGAGGCCAGCTCAGACTGACTCCAAGCTTGGCCCAGCTCAGGCCTCGGGCTCCTGAGCAGGCGTGAGGGCAGACACTGGCCCAGGGGGTCTCTGTCACTCTGCATGACCCATGCCAGGCTCCCGGCTCCGGCGGCTAATGCCCAGCAAAGACCCTCCTGGGCTGCAAGGTGCATACTACTTTCTTCTTCGGTGTTAACTCCCATGGGGAGTCCGAGGTGGCAATGCCCCAGACCTTCTCGGGCCTGGATGGGAAGGGCAGGATCTGCCATCTCCTCTCCACCCTCCAGGAGATTCCAGGTCGGGCTGGGCAAGGTGTCCAGAGGCCCCACCCTGCAGATGCCCACCTCACCCACTCCCTCACCGTTGCCTCCTCCCCAACCCCACCTCCTGCAGCAGGTTCTTCTCAGTCTCTGTCCCTCTACCTTTCCTGGCTCCCTGCAACTTCTCATCCAACTCATGATAAGAGAATCGGGAAGTTGAGCCTCAGGTCTCCCAGGGAAGGCAGTGGGAGGATGGGGTGAGACACCAACAGACCATTCATGGCCACCCCATTTCCAGGCTCTTAAGCACTCAAGGAAGGTCAAAGCTTATGCAAAGACCCTCTCCCTGAGGCCCGAGGGGGGCCCTTGAATGTACAGTCCTCCAGGGACATTGTCAAAGCACCCTTGAAAGGTTCATCAATGGTGGGATTTGGGGTGTAGTGCTTCTCCCTCCTCACACACCCCTGGAAGGGCCTGGGCTCATTTCCCTGCTCACCACCCAACACAGAAGCAGATTCTCGGTAATAGTCAGCTGACGTTTAGTGACTGTGTTTGTGCATGCATTGAGGTGGGTACAATAGGGCCTCCTCCACCTAAGTAGAATTGGGAGGTGGCTCAGAACTCATCCAGGCCAATCTCCCACAGGTGAAAAGTGTCCTCTAGAACGTCTCAGGGCTGGGTGTCCCGTTGAGGCTGTGTACCTCCAGCAGCGGACTCTCTCTGCCCCTCAGGGCACCCCTCCCACTGTAGGGCACCTCCAACTGTTGGCATTTTCCTCCTGGCAGCCTCTACTTGGGGGAAAGGGGGCAGTGGAAGGAGGCACTGTCGCTCCAGCCCAGTCTTGAGGACAAGAGAGGCAGTTGGGGTGGAACACTGGCGAGAAGAGCAGTAAGTTAAGCCCAAGAATGACCAGAGACATGGCAGGATGGGCGGGTGGCATTCCAGAGGTCCCAGGAGTCTCTGGTCTGACCCAGAAGCCATTGCGACGAGACGGCTCAGAAAGCTGGGTTGTCAATGCCTCTCCGGACCCCAGGATGTTCTTCAGGTCTGAAGCTATAGGGAGGGGGTGGATCCGTGGGGGGCAGGCCCAGGACAGGCATCCGAATAATCTGTAGGGAAAAGAGGGGACTCAGAGTCTTCTTAGGCCCCAGCACTGGCCACACCACCCATGTTGTGGCTCTGGCATGTCTACCAGGGAGATGGTGACCTAGTGCTGGTCACAGAGCACCCCCCACCGCAGGGTCGAGAGTCCTGGGGTAAGTGAGGCCCTGCCCTGTCTTGTTCCTCTAAAAATGTGGACACTAGGTGGAAGCAGAGTGGAGATGGGGACAGAGACACCCACCTCACTGTAGGGGGGCGGGGACTCAGAGGTGAATGCTCTGGCCGGCTCTGGGGGGTCGAAGGAGGGCAGTACTCGGGGCCCCTGGTGCTCCGTCGGAGGTCCTTGCTCTGACTTTCTGCAGTTTCCACAGAAGTGCTTGGCCAGGCCACAGATGGACAAGAAGAGCAGGACCATGAGGAAGATGATGCTGAAGATCCTGGGATGGGGAACTACCACCATCACCCCAGGTCCCTGGGCCATCCCTGCCACCCCTACCTCCCTCCACCAGTACCCACCCCCTCAGCAGAATGCCCAGCCACATTCTGTGTGGACTCATGGACTGGGCCCAGAGGAGCTGGCCCTGGGCTCACCTCAAGGGGTTGGAGAAGATCTCATACTCTTGGCAACAGCTGTCCCCACAGCATTTGAATCCTTCAGGGCAGGTGCTGGGTGGGGGGTGGGGAGGCAGAGAGGAGCCACTGGCACCAAGGTGGAGTGGAAGAAGGATCCCAGACTCCCCAAAACACACCCATACACTCAAAGCATGAGCCATGCCCCTAGTTGGGGGGAGGAGGTGGGGACCCCACTGAGCTCAGTGGGAAGAACCTGGGACCAGGACTCAGGCTCACGTCACCACTGGCCTTGTGCACCTGGACAAGTTACTACTCTTTACTGGGCCTTACTTTCCTCATCTATAAAATGGGTATAATCAATGTCCTGTTGACCTCACTGGACAGATGTGGGGATTGAGTGCTGTCATGAATATGATATCATTCATTTGCCTCTTAGGAGTTGTAGAGAGGGGGGCAGTGCAGAGGCTCCAGGAACTAGCTTGCAGCTGCTCATGGAGAAGGAGGTGGGCAGGGAGAGGGTGTTTGTTTTGGGAGCACCCATTGCTGACTTATTGGAAACTCTTTTCTGCCCAGAGATAGCCCCCTCCCGCCAGAAAGATTGAGAGTCTCCCAAGTCACACAGCACACAGCGGTGACTGCAGAGCTGGGGACAAACGAGGGGCTCAGGCACTCACTGGGCTCTGGCTTCTTAGTATTTCTATATTAGGATCAGGACAGACTGTTCGCTGTCCCCCTCAGGGGGACCCTCAGAAAGGAGATGGCCTGAGACCACAGGACCAAGGGCCAGGATTTCATTTCAGACCTGCTCACAAGTGTGAAGCTCCCCTTGGGTTGGTTGGTGGAAGGAGGGATGGGGTAGAATCTCCTCCTCTGGAGGGTGGGGTGGGGTGGGGACATGGCTTCTGGCTGGAATGAGAGTGGGTGAGGATGATGGACAAGGTGTCTCCTGATTCCCACCAAGGCAGGGAGGGTGTGATTTGGGCTGTCCTCTCCCCCCTCCCCAGAGCAGAAGTTATAGCCCAAATGCCAGACTTACAAGAAGAGACCACATTTGGCTGCAGCCTGTGGAAGAAAAGAGGCAGAGGTCAGGGGTCTGGGGTCAGGGTCTCCTCCCAGATGTTGCACAGGCACCTCGCAGCAAGCAGGTCTCCAATAGGACCTGCTCTCTCACTCACGGGACCATGTTTCCCAGGCCAATGATTGGAGCCCCAGACTTTGCGCAGCTGGCCCCCAGCTGACACCTGGTCCCCAGATCGCCTTCCTCTCTCACCCCCACCCTATACACCACATTCTCTCATCCCCACCCTTCCAATCCGTCTTCTCCTTTCCATGCCCGTGACATGTCTGTGGTCCTCGACACCAGCAGCTCTCCTCACCCCATCCCAAGTCACTCCGGACACTGAACAAGAGGCCTCTTCCTATAACGCAAATCTGATCACCTCACAACCTTGCAGTGGCCCCTGGGGCTACAGACCCCGGACCCCCATTGCTGTCAAGTCGATTCATTACCATTCCCATTGCTGTCGAGTTGATTCAGACTCACAGCAACCCTATAGGACAGAATAGAACTGCCCCCTAGGGTTTCCAAGGCTATAATCTTTACGGAAGCAGACTGCCACATATTTCTCTTGCAGAGTGCCTGGTGGGTTTGAACACCAAACTTTAGGTTAGCAGCCAACTGTTTAACCACTGGCCCACCAGCGCTCCTCGCAATCAGCCTTAGGCCCTGCAGTAAAAATTTAAATCATTCTTTGATGCTCCAATATTCTGAGCTCAAGCCTTTAGGCTTAGCCCGTACAGCAGGCCTTTGCCCTCTGCCCTAGTCTCACGCACTTCCCCTCTGGAGCACCACTAGTCCCATTTGATAATCCCCTTGGGAACTCATGCCACTGCCCCCCTAGGGATGAACTTTAAAAAGGTAGCTAGCCAACCACAGACAGGCACAACCAAGCGCTTAATCCCACCCCAAAGCCCCACTAAAGGCAGCTGCCCAGAGTTGTTCTCTCTCCCTCTTCCCCCGGTAGTTGCTCTGCACCCTGCCATGCTCCTGTGTGGCCCTGCGTGGCGGCTGTCCACCTCTCTGGGAACTGTAGCTCGAATAAACCCGGTTCCTCACCATGGTGTCCCTGACGCCTCTTCCTCATGTGGCACCTCACTCACCATCCCACAAGTCTGTGAGATCAGCCCCCCTTCCCTTCTCTTACCCCAGTCCCCACTCGCCTTCTTTTTAATTTTATATTTTACTTCAAATTTTTTTATTGTGGTGAACAAATACATAACAAAATATACGCCATCTCAAAAATTTCCACATGTACAATTCAGTGACATTGATTACATGCTTCGAGCTGTGCACTCATTTTCACTGTCCTTGTCCAAATCATTCCACCATTAACGTAAACGTGGGGCCGCCATGAGTCGAAATCAACTTGAAGGCAACTCACAACAAGCATGAACTCCCCTTGTCCCCTCCCTGCCACTCCTGGTAACCACTGATAATCTTTGGCTTCTATATATTTGCCTGTTTCACAGAAGTGAGATCACACAATGTATATTCTTTTGCGACTGACTTATTGCCCTCTGCATGATGTTTTCAAGGCTAATCCATGTGTGGCATGCATCAGGGTCTCATTTCCCTATGGCCGAGTAGTATTCCATTGTATGGATGGATATACCACATTCTGCTAATCCAGTCCTCTGTTGATGGACATTTGGGTTGTTTCCCTTGCTTGACCTCTTGCACGTAGATCCACTGGGAGTTCCCTGAACACACCTGGCTGTTTCACACCTGTGTGTACCGGCAGGCCTCCTTCCGGTCTGTTGAATCCCATTCATCCTTCAGATCCCTGCCTGAGGGCTCCTTGCTCTGCAAAGCCGCTGGACTTTCCTCTCCAGAACCAGTTCCTCCTTCCCTTCCATCCTTTTACGCACCAGCTCTGCAGGCCGTCCAGGGCATCGTTACAAACTTCAACTCAATTAACAGCCATTTTGTGTAAGAGCCTCTGCTTGGAGAGGTATCTGCAAGGCTGGCTCCTACATCTCCTTCTTGGACCACCCTATTTAAAATGACTTACTGTGCTTTATGTTTCTCCACAGCTCTTACCAACATCCCACAGACTACATAGTTTACTTTATGTTGTTAACTGTTGTTAACTGTCTGCCTCCCCAGCAGAATGTAAACTCCACCAGGGCAGGAATTTTTGTCTATTGTATCACTGTTGAATACCCAACACTCAATAAATATTTAAATAAATAAATGAAAGAGCATTCATTGATAATTAAAGTTAAGAGTACCATTAGAGTTAAGAATACTTAAAGAGTACCAAAGACAGCCAATAATAGTTGGGGTCATTTCCCTTTTCCATGCTTAGTCACAGGTCAAGTGCCTCCTTCTCACAAGACTTGGCTAGTGGGGACGGTGGCAGGAATGAAGTCTGCAAGGTTGGTCCAGAGAGGGCAACAGTCTCCCAAGTCACACAGTACACAGGGGTGACTGCAGAGGTGGGGACAAACCGAGGGGCCCAGGCACTCAGAGGCACCCACCTTCAGATCCCAAACTCCATCCCTCCTCCTTTTCTTGACCCCCAACTGAGAGGTGACTGGTAATTAACAGGTTTAATAAATTCATCCACGTTCCTACTGAGGTGGGGGGAGAAGCTCTCAGATTCTCCCTCCATTTTAACCAGGGGGTGATCTTGCCTGAGGAGTTCCTGGGTGGAATAAACAATCAGGCGCTGGGCTACTAACTGAAAGGTTAGTGGTTTGAACCTACCCAGCCCTGGCGATCTGCTTCTGAAAAAGCAGCCACTGAAAACCTTACGGAGCACAGTTCTACTCTGAAACACATGGGGTCGCCATGAGTCAGAACCGACACAATATGGCAACCGGTTTTTTTGTTTGTTTTTGGTTTGGTCTTGTCCGGGGTGATTCAGAGCTTGAGTTTTATCAAGTGTTGGGGTGACCTTGGGCAACCTCAGCTTACTAACATGTAAACTGGTGGCATATGCAGCACCTAGCCCACTGGGGTTGTTGGGAAGAATCAGTCAAGGGGTTCCCAGCCTATAGCCTGGCACTGATTGCCCATTGATTGGGCAGGAATATTAAACTTTCTGGAGTGGGGGAAGGATCCCTGGTGGTACAGTGGTTAAGCACTCAGCTGCTAATGGGAAGGTTGGGAGCCCACCAGCCGCTCCATGGGCTCAAGATGTGGCAGTCTGCTTTGATAAAGATTTACAGCTTTGGAAACCCTATGGGGTAGTTCTATTTTGTCCTATGCGGTCGCTATGAGTCAGAATCAATTCAAGGGCAATGGGTTTGGGTTTTTTGGTTTCGAGTGGGAGATGGTAACCTGGGTCCACAGGTGGACTTTAGGGTCAGAACGCTTCTGCAAGTGCAACAGAGCCGTGTGACTGTGCCCTGTTCTCGGGAAGGCCCAGGACTTTCCTCAGATTCTTAAACAGAAGTAAGTTAAAAATCAGTGTTCTAGACTCATCCCGTTTCCAAGATCATCTCTCATTCCAGGACTGGTCAGATCTCCTCCATCACTTTTAGATTTTTTTTTTTAATGTGAGGAATGTGGTGGGGCAAGGAAGGAGTGCCCAAACCCTGCCTCCTGTCTGCAGTCCAGAAGCCAATTTCAGAGGTCACCTGAGCCTAGGGGTCAGGCAACCAGATCAAATCCTACCTCAGGCAGAAATCCTACTTCCACTCCAAGAAAAGGACGAGGGAGTGGCGTAAGCAGAGAAGCAAGGTTACAGATAGGGCTGGGACTTCCTCCAAGGTCACCTAGCACTGAAAGAAAAGAGAGCTGGGAAGATGGCTGGCCGAGACCTTCAGACCTCAGGTCCCCGCTTTCTGACGCAGGCGGGAAGGAGCGCGAAGGACAAGCCAAGACTAACAGGAGGGTCAAAGTCCCCATTCACAGGGAGGCGCTGGGTGACCAGACGGGTGGTGGGCGGGGGCCAGACCAGACTCCCCAATCCCCCCAAGGTGGAAGGAACCCAGACTTTCTCAGGGCCTCCCTCAGCTGCCTCCACCTCTACGGCTAAAGAGAAAGGAAGTTGCTAATTGCGTGTGGTCACGAGGAAATTCTGACAATGGAAGGAGGTGACCCAGGCTCCACAAGCAGGCCCCTGACCCAGAAGGGTACGTCCTCAACAATTCAACAACCTTACCTTCCAAGCCCTTACCTGTTGGAGGCCTGCCAGAAGGCTGAGCAGCAAGATGGGTGGGAGCCATGGGACCCAGGGGTCCGACATGCTGACTTGAGGGCCACAGAGCTTTAGGGTGTATGGGAAGGAAGGGAGAGGCGGGGCCGCGACCTCTCCCACCTCTCTCCACCTATGGGGCCCCACCTCGGGATGGGGGCGGAGCTTTGCACTCAGAATAGGCTGGCCTGGAGACGCGGAGGGGAAGAGGAGGGGGAGGGGTCTTGGTTGGGTTTTGAGAGTTAAATTAACTGATAAAATTGTGAAGTCAGTTTAAGACTGCTGAGCTACTGCTTCCTAACCCTCAGCTCCTCCCGCTAAGTGGTCCCAGGTTTAGGGAAGGGTTTGGCGCGTGGGGGATGGGAGGGGGTTACAGGCAGAGGGAGCTGGACCACCAGGAGTCCCTTCTCACCTGGACTTCTGGGTGGCGGGGCAGAAGTGGAGGGAGTGGGGCAAGCCAAGACGCTGGGGAGGATTGTAACGTGGCATATTGGGGGTGTCATCCGTTGTTTTCCTGAACAAGAAGGGAGAGGACAGCCTGCCTGATTTCAAGGTGCGCTGATTTCCAGATACGGGAAAGGAGGACCAAGGACATAGCATTGAAACATTTGTGTTCCCAGCCTACCCCACCCAAAATCCTAAGAGGAGGTGTGGGTACTCTTCCTCCATTTGACTGGTGGGTAAATTCAGGCTCCACGGTTCAGACTTGCCCCCCGGGTCAGCAGACGGGGTAGAGCGGCGGCCGGGCCAGCGCAGGAGCCGGCGAGCAGGCCCATCCGGATTCCTGGAAAGACCCCGGGGAGGCAGTCACTCCCGGGAAGGGCCGGATTCCGGCTCAGCGGCCGCCTTCGCGCCCCAGTTCTCGAGGCTCACGGCACTTACAAGATCCTGCCGGCAGGGGGCAGCATCGCTCAACGCCGACTCCCCCGGGAGTGAGGAGGTGCGTGCGCTGGGACCGAGCTCCCGCTCTGGGAAGCTGGCTGGAGACCGGGGTGGTAAGCCGTCCAGGTGGGTGATAGGTGTAGGGCGACAGCCAGACGCGCAGACACAAATGAGACCTGTGGAGACCCAGCCAGAGACGAGAGATGTGGAGCGGGACGAAATGGGGATGCTCTGGTGGGGTTGTGGGGACTGCTCCCGGGCCTGCGGGAAGGGGAGGGCGCCGCGAGAGGCTCAGTTCTGAGGCTGTTAAGGGGGTCTCCTGCGATATCGCCTTCCACATCTGACTTTGCCCCTGAAAAATATCCCCAACTTTCTAAAGCGAGACGACAGCGGTCTTTCTCGGCTTCTTTTTCTGCCTCTCATCTCTCCCCCTCTCCCAGTCTTTCATAGTCGTGTTATACTTAACCTCTCCTTGTCTGTCCACGCTTCTCCCCATCTCTGTCTCTACCCAGCTTCTCTCGGTTTCTGTGTCTGTTTTTCTCTGTTTTCCTGACTGTTTCTCCTCTCTCTGTGAACTTGTTTCTCTCAGTTGTCGGGAGTCTGTTTTCCGCTCTATTTTTCTCTTTCACTGTGTTTCCATTTTTCCTGGCTCTGGCTTGGTCCTGGTCTTCTGTCTCCGTATCTGTTTCTCCCTAACTCTCCTGATCTTTCTCCCCCTCTCCTTTCCTGTCTCTGTTGCTCTTTGTTTCTGTTCCAGCCCTAAAAGACAAATTCTTCTAGTCTCCTGATCCAAATGGAATTGGGGTCTGGCCACAGAGAATCCCCTCTTTCTTCACCATTGCTGCCCCCAAGCCCTTTCGTTGGCCACTCTAGGCTTTGGAGAAGGGATTGGAGGTTGGGGGCACCGCTTTTCTTCTCTGCTTGCAGTTGGCCCTGGACTCTGCCTCTCTGCCAAGGGGACCTAGTCCAGAGAGAGCTGGAGACTTCTCCAGCAGCACCCATGCCACCTCCTTTTCAGTGAAGTCATTGACTTGGGCTTCCAGGGCCCTACTGCCCCTGCTCAGGCCCCACTGCACCAGCACCCCAAGGCCTGGAGTATCTCCCCCACACCTCCTGCCACCCTGCCCAGGCCAAGCCTTTCAGGGGAGAGGGAACTGGGTGAGTTTAGGGGAGGGGAGTATCCTGGGCAGTGAAGTGAGGGTGCTGAAAGTGCATGGGGGAGCTTGAGGGGCAGGCATGGGAGCCTGGGAGGGCTGAGGAGGTAAAGAGACTAGGCAGGCACCAGCTTCCTGAGGCAGCCAGGAGGAGGGGGAGGAGGCCGGCATTGCTCCCCTCCAAGTCACTGGCATCCACCTGACCCAGATCTACTGTTGCCGGACAAAATACATGATGTCCAGTTAAATTTGAATTTCACGTCAACAATGAATAATTTTTTTTTAGTGTAAGTATGTCCTATGCAATAGCTGGGACATATTAGTACCATCAGTTGCCATTGAGTCGATTCCAACTCATGACAACTCCATGTGTGCAGAGTAGAACTATGCTCCATAGGGTTTTCAATGGCTGATTTTTTCAGAAGTAAATTGTCACACCTTTCTTCTGAGGCACCTCTGGGTGGGTTCGAACTGATAACCTTTCTGCTAGTAGTCAAGCGTTTAACTGTTTGCATCACCCAGGGACTCCATCTGGAACATATCATACTAAAATTTATTTGTTTTCTATCTGAACTTCAAATTTAACGGGGTGTTCCGTACTTTTATTTGCTAAATCTGGCAACCTTACCCACATCCCGAAAATGTCATAGAAACAAACACTTGAGAGCAGCTACTCCACTCCCTGCTCCCCCATGTCTTCCCAATGGAGAAAGTGAGGCCCCCAACACTTGGCTCATGGGGCAGAGTCCAAAGGGCCCTTGAAACCTGCTTCTGGGTCCCCAGTTTTGTCCAGGACACCAAACTGCCCTTCTATGTTCCTTCTTGTAGATGGGGAGGAGGGTAAGGAGCCTGGAGGGGGGTGGTTCCAGCTCAGGCCGAGAACACCAGGCCCTGTTGTCAGCATCCATTTTGGGTTTAGGGGCCCCAGCATTCTTGGTGGGTGAGGTCAGGTGGTACAATGGAGAGAGCAAAGAAGGAGCTGTTCTTATCTAGAGGAAAGAGGGTGGGTGGCTCAAGTGGGTCCTGGACAGGGACACATCTTCTGTTTAATTCTTAGTCTGGCAATGGGAGATGGGAGGAAGTGTGTCCATGCATGCACGTGTGTGCTCAGGCCTGCAGGGACACAGGCAGGGAGACCCAGAGACCTCCTGCAGCTGATGGGTCCTTCCAGATTCCACACTAAATTCCAGCTGGGATTTCCTTAGAGCAGCAAAGTCAAAATGTCTTCATACCAACTCACCACCCTCCCCAGGCTCGTTCACTAAAGAAAGAACTGATTGTCCATGCATCCCCCAGGGTTCCTGCTGGGAGGGCCTCGGGGTCATCTGGTCCACCCACCTCCTTCTCAGGGAAGCCAACCAGAGCCCTAATGGGTGGGGAAGTGAGGGGCAGAGTCAGGACCAGAACCATGCATGTCTGGAGACCTCACACCAGCACAGCCTCAGAGGTGGCACACACCTCAAAAGTGCAAGAAGTCTGAGGGCTCAGGTTTCCAGGGAGCTCTGAAAACCGGGCCCTGGGGAGCCCCTGCTCCGGAGGGAGGAATACCTCAGTGGGGGTTGGGGTGGGCGCCCTGGGTAAGGGGAGGAGCCAGGCGGAGCTCTGTTCCACTCAGCACCCTCCCACTCCCATACTGTGGTGTGGACACTTGCTAGCGACGCACACTCTGCTCTAGCCTGGCTCTGCCTGCGGAGGCAGCGTTGTGTCATGCTGGTACGTGTGCCACTTACTACACAGTGCTATGTAAACTTGGACTAGAAACTAAACTTCTCTGTGCCTCAGATTCCTCATCTGTGAAATGAAGGTAAATAGTAGTACCTCCCTCATTATATAGGGCTATTGTGAGGATGAAATCAGCTGCTCAATGTCTGACATACAGTGACATGAAATAGATGTTAGCTATCTTCATTCCTGGAATATGAAAAGGGCTCAAAGTTCCTTCTCTCCGTTTCATACAGAGGCAGAGTGAGGTGCCAGATAATTTCGTGTCTTGCTTCCCTCTGAGGACTGCTCTAGGCCCTTCTGGATGGGCTCCAGGGGTCTAGCTCCAGTTCCCCCCCGGAGTGCCCTGCTCACTAGCTTGCTCTGCTGGCCATTAAATGTTCTGGGTCCTGCCTAAAGGCCAGGTCACAGGCGGCTGGGCCCAGTGGCTGACCTCAGGAGGCCAACTTGGCACTGACCACACTTCTTGAAGGTCCACAGGAGACCAGATGTGATGGGGACTGGACTCCAGGTAGAGCTGGGACTGGAGATTTGAGCGAGGGGTAGGGATCATTGTTAATCCCTGATACTCCTGATCTGAACTCCCACCCTTTCTACGCCCCCCACTGCCTGTGGAGCACTGCCTGCATCTGTCTCACAGAGCTGAGAGCTCATGAGGAGTAGGGACTGTGCCTGTCACAGATGTCCCTTCCCCTCATTTCCACTGCCACTGCACCGTGCAGCATACCTCACCAGAATGTCACAATGGCCTCCAGTGAGGCCTCTAGCCTGGTCTTCCTACTGTCCCCATTGGGATATGTCCCCCGTCACTCCTAAACTCCAGAGGTTTCCCATTTCCAACTGAATAAAGTCCAATCTCAGAGATACCTTCAGGGTCCTTTGTAACCCAGCCCCCACCTGCTCTTCCAGTGTGCTGGCCACCATGTTCTCCAGCCACAACCCTACCCTTTCTGCTTCCATCCTGGAACGCCCCTCCCCATTCCCCTCCTGGAAACCTAACAAATTCTTACCCGTTTTTCCAGGCTCAACTCAAATATCACCTCCTCCAGAAAGCCTTCCTGGACTTAGATCTTCCTGCAAGAAGTGATTGTCCCTCTCCCTGCCCACCCCCACCCAGGCCTTTTCTCTGGACCTCCTTGATGGCTCTTGGCCATCCAGCCTTGAAGATGTGTGTACATGTCCTAATGTTCCCACCAGGCTCCGGGGGCTGGCCTAGTTGTGATTCAGCTTTCATTTCCCTATGGTGCTTTGTTTCAAGTAAATACTGGCTCTGTTGTCACTGAATTGAAGCTG